TATAGAGGAAAGTAGATCCCTTGGAAGTGGATTACTGTGAAATGAATAGAAAAGATGCTACATTCCAGTAACTTGTTGGACTTGATTCAGGTGAAAATTAAATGCAGTTCAGGATTGGAAATACTCTTTCCTACTTATATAGAAATATTAGGTTGAATTCACATCATCTTTTAATGACCCCATAATCCCTTGCAGGGTGGAGTCTGGCCAACTGAATGGAGCTGATTGTTTACTGGCCGGATGCTCTTCCTGTCGCCAATGCGGAGTTTTTTTCAGCAGATATATTCTCAGTGTGCCCAAAGAGAGAAATATCTGCCTCTACCTAGGATGGAACTCACAGACTCCTGATTGTGAGGCGAGAGCTCCACTTCTAGGCCACCGCACCACTGCTCTGTTGAATTCACATGACCCATTTAATCTGATTATTGAATGAACCCTTTTTGTGCTGAATCATAGCCCAAACAAATTGATTTGAGTTGGTAGAAAACACTAAGCCGGAAAAAAAAGAAGAACCTTGCTTGTTGTCAGACCGTATTTGATAAGTGTTGACTGGCTTAATAGTATGTTGTGTGAATGCAACCTTAAAATGATGGAGCTCGAATGTTTCTACAGCACAGCAGCTTTCTAGAGTTTCAAAAGAAAGGACATAACTTAATTAGCAAAGCTTTGCTGCAGAAGGTTGTTGTCATCTCCCTTTCTTTTAGAGAAGCAGATAGCAGGAACTCCTTCAACCCAGTCTGGAAGAACTTGGTGTATAACAGTGTCCTCCGTCTGTTGCAGTAAAAACCATTAAAAATGGATTGACTAGTTGGGGAAAGACTACTGAGCAAATCAGGATTTACACATCATCCTAACTTATCACTTTGTTGGCAATGATGTCTGACCCCAGCCACTTAATAAAAACAGGGCCAGTCAGTAAATTAACTTAATTAAGTCTGAGTGAACAGGAACAGTTTAGTTAGTTGGGAGGAAACTATTATGGTTGATTGTGCTTTTTCAAGAGGCAAATGGACTTTCTGGTTTTTCTTTGAAGACGTTTCGCTTCTCATCCAAGAAGCTTCTTCAGCTCTGATGTCTATGGAGATTCTCAGTCATCCAGGTCATGGTTGTCTCAAAGGTGCTTTTTCAAGAGGCAGCTGGACTCTGGTTTTTCTTTTCAGAGCTGAAGAAGCTTTTTGGATGAGAAGCGAAATGTCTTCAAAGAAAAACCAGAAAGTCCAGCTGCATCTTGGAAAAAAGCACCTTTGGGACAATTATGATCTGGATGACTGGGAATCTCCATAGACATATTGAAGTTGATGTTGGGCAGGGTTGTTTGGGGAGGGAATTGTAGAATCCAAAGCTGCTACAGAGAAGCATGACCTTACTTGCTTAATATCTTGAAGCAGAAACGTTGGAAAAAGACACAGTTGAGGTCTTCGTTGATCAATGGGTTTAAGTTTTGGGGAGAGTCCGTCAGATACCTTGGTAGAGCTGGTGTTTGTCTTCACTTTAAGGAGAGCTGAAGTTATCATAGTGTAGCTTCTCGTCTACTGGATTGGCTACACTGCCCTCCCTGGCTCTTCTTAGAAGTAGCTCAGTGGGTTTATGGGAAGCCCATGCTCTTTATTGACACGAGATGGCTTTATGGACTGACTTCCTTGCCCTTGAGGTATTGGTGAACATTTGGATACAACGGGAGCAGGCCAGTGGTGCTGTGTGTCAAATGGGTCACGGAAAATGCATGGATGTTTCTCATGTGCATTCACACATTCAGGGAACACCCTCACTTTCTCTCATCCAGATATACCTGCACACATGGAACCGTTTTATAAGCCATAAGCTCTATGTCAGGAATCTCCAGTCTTGGGAGTTGGTGAGTAATTTGGAATTTTAGGAGCATCTCATCGCTGCTGTTACAAGATACTTGCTGGGGGTGTGTGGAGGGGGAGGTTGCTTTTCACTGCATCCTGCCATTTCCTAGAATATTCTTTCTGGTCTTCTTTTATTGTTCTCTATCTTTCTTCTTCTCCCCTGGATGTGGTCTTAAATAGAACCTGAGGCTACAGCCTGAGGCTATTTCCTAAAAGCAATGCACAGCCTTTGCTCCAAGCTACCTTCCTGGGAAAATATCTATCTCGATAAAATAAAATCAAGTAGAGCGTGGAGTTTAAGAAAGTTACTTTCAGGTGGCCCACTGGGTACCTGGGCCCTTGGTGAAGATAGGCAAGACAAGTTATCATTTTCTGTAGTAATCTGTTGCCTCATGCCAACATTTACTTTTTGGGTGCAGAATATTCCTCTGCTTCCTGCCCTGCCCTGCCCTCTCTGAACATGTCCAGATTACATTTGTTCATTTCCATTATCTTCCATGCTTCAATGGAGGGAAACTTGGAAATGGGGAATTGGCTTTAGGCATGTAAATTCTCTGCCTCTTTTAGAAGATGGTTGTGTTGAGAGAGAAAATAGATATATTTAAGCAACCTAAATTCTAGGGGCTGTGTTCAGTGAAGCTACAGGAGAAATGCAGAATATGCAACCAGCAGTAGAAATGAACTTGCCAAGAATTTTCCCTAGTCCAATCCCCTAATCCCTGTAAAAGTATCCAGATTTACTGCTATTGTGAGTATGCTTGGAAGTTTATATATAGTATAGTATGTATGAAGATAGAATGGATAATCTTTACTTCGCTCATGTATAAGTAAAACTGGAATGAAATGTAAATGAATTAATCCAAGCACCCATTTATGCAAATTGCAGAATTCTATTCACAGAGCAGAATCTGAGTTGCCTTGGCTGCTATTGTTACTATCGTTCTGGTTATATGCAACGTAGTGCTTGATAAATCACATGTGATTTTGCTGAGAAACTGACTAAATATTCCATTAAGTTTTGTTCAAAAAAAGTGGGAAATGGTCCTGTTTTCCTTGTTCCCCAAGCTTTTCTTCCCATTTTGGAATTTTCCTATTTGCTTCCCTTCCTCGAGATGCCAATTGGTCATTCTGGTGCAGAGTCTCTCCTATGTATTTCAATGCATGCATGGAATTCCCCGGCTTGCCAAGACCTACCTGTTTCATTTCAGTGAAGGAGGAAGATCTGCCTGGGCCACGAAATCGGAGTGTGGATCTGCTTCCTCCATTGCAACTTCAGGTTTTGTGGGCAGGGGGGTTCCATGTGTGTTCTTGTGCCTGTGAAAACCAGGGTTGCGTGCCGTGATTTTTTCGGAGGGGGGGGGGGGGGAGCCAAGAGATGACCTTAGCTGGGACCTTCGGTGCCTCTAGACAAGAAATAGAAAATATTGTGTCCTACCCAAATGGCATGACCAGGATTGGTGGCTGAAAATAGCAGGGATTTGGGAGAGCAAAAGATTTGGTAGGTCTGATGAAAGACCTTCCTCTTTTGGCCCCCATAAGTCCCTCTTGATGGACACTAGACACCCACTGTCCAAAGTGGAAGTTTGTATTGAAAGTCCATGTTCTTTGTAGTGAAATGGGTGAGAGTAACTAGGATAGTGTAAATATTGATTGGGAGAAAGGTTGGCTCACCACTGGGCTGTAGATAAAAATGACCAATCTTTTCTTTTTAATTGTTTTATCGTTGTTTTAATTTTCCTTACCTTGTTTATCTCTCAAGAAGGAGCTGAGGAACAAGGCCACTTCACCCAACTTTTCTGTTTCTCCCTACTATTCCCTAAGCCAGGGTTCTCCAACCTTGGCAACTTTAAGACTTGTGGACTTCAACTCCCAGAATTCCTCAGTCAGCAGAGCAAAGGGAGTTGAAGTCTTAAAGTTGCCAAGTTTGGAGACCCCTGGCCTAGGCTACTATCTCTAGCCATAAACCAACATCCCTGTGGACTGATATACATTTGCTTGTAAGTGTAGATTGGGAAACAAGAACTGTTGGGTTTATACCTGGCTACAGGTAGTCCTTGACTTACAACAGTTCCAAATCACAACGGCACTGAAAAAAAGCATCTCGTGACCGTTTATCACACTTACGACCGTCATGGCATCCCCATGATCGCAGGATCAAAATTCAGATGCTTGGCCATTGACTCCTACTTATGACCTTCCCAAGGTCACCTGATCCCCTTTTGCAATCTTTTTGACAAGCAGAGTCAATGGGGAAGCCAGATTCACTCCACAGCCAGACTACTCACTTATCAACTGCAGTGATTCACTTAAGACCTGCGTCAAGAAAGTTCGTAAAATGGGGCAAGGCTCAGTTAACAGATGTCTCGCTGAACAACAGACATTTTGGGCTCAATTGTGGTCATAGGTCAAGGACTACCTGTATATTCCCAGCTAAGCGTATCTAGTCTGTTAATTTCTTTAACCCTATAAATGTGAATAAGAGCCACCTACAATGTCTCTCTCTCTCAAAGAGCCGTGATGGCCCAGTGTTTAGAATGCAGTACTGCAGGCTATTTCTGCTGACTGCCCACTACTAGCACTTTGACAGTTCAGTTCTCACCAGGCTCAAGGTTGACTCAGCCTTCCATCCTTCCAAGGTGGGTAAAATGAGGACTCAGATTGTTGGGGGTAATATGCTGATTCTGTAAGCCACTTAGAGAGGGCTGTAAAGGACTGTGAAGTAGCATATAAGTCTAAGTGCTATTGCTAAGTGGGAAGAAAGGAAGAAAGGGCTGTGGTGGTGCAGTGGTTACAATGCAGCATTGCATGCTGACTCTGCCAACTGCCAGCAGTTCGATCCTGAATGGCTCAAGCTTGACTCAGCCTTCCATCCTTCCGAAGTGGGTAAAATGAGGACCCAGATTGTTTGGGGGGGCAATGTGGTGACTCTGTAAACCGCTTAGAGAGGGGGCTGTAAAGCACATAAGTCTAAGGGCTAAGTGTTACTGCTCTTCCCTGGTCCTTGCATTACAAGTCTTTGGGATGCCTGGGCGTAGTGCCTCCCCTTTGAGCCCACCTGGATCTGCTATGCCAATTTCCAAGCACTGCATCTTTTACCGACAGCATCTCGCTTTCTCTCTCGGTTTGCTCCTTCTCATGTGTGCTTAGGGAGAACCATAGTGAGATCGAGAGACGCAGGAGGAACAAGATGACCCAGTACATCACCGAGCTCTCTGACATGGTGCCCACCTGCAGCGCCTTGGCGCGCAAACCCGACAAGCTGACCATCCTACGCATGGCAGTGTCTCACATGAAGTCCATGAGGGGCACTGGGAACAAATCTACCGATGGAGCATATAAGCCTTCTTTCCTAACTGAGCAGGTGGGTGGCTTCGTACGAGGCTGTAGAGAAACATGAGGGTCTTGCAGGGGTTCATGTTACAGGGAGGCTGGATCGCAGCTAGTCCCGCGCTGGAAATGTCTTCCCTCTAGCTTTAGATCGTTCTTCCGTTTGAATGGCAGGGATTTCTTCCAAGGGAGAATAGCTTTTTTTGGAATAGGATGCTAGGGTTTGGGGTTTTTTTCTTTCTTGCATACAAGGGTGGCTGAAAGGTGATGAGTGAATGTTCTGTCTTTCCTAGCGCTGTCTACTTTCTGGAGGTGAGCACTCATCTCAGGTAAACCAGAGGAAAGACAGCAGTGTTGTTGCCTGAAACATAGGTCGGGACTATGCTTGCAGTAACAGCAGTAGAAACAGAATCTTGCATGTCTGTACGTGATTCCTCCTCCCTAGTTTTGACTGCTAATGAACTTGTCTGAGATGTTTTCTCAAGTTGCTCTCTTGGAATGGGCTCAAGCACCGTTTATCTAATCGTTGCCTTGGGAGCGGCTCTTCCTCCTTCCTTTTTTGCTTTCTTCTTTGCTTCCCACCCTTTCATTCATTCCCAAGGAAGAGTTCACCATCGGATTGAAAGACAAGGCAATCATGGGGGCTGCAGAAACCTCCTTTATGTTTCTGAAGATCTCCCATCTAGCCAGGTTCTTCCCTGCTCATTATCAGCCCATTTAAAGATGGGCAGTGGGTTAAAAAGAACTTTCTTTGCTCATAGTGTCCTAGAAAACTTCCATTCATAATTGTCCACCTCATAACAACCCAAACCTGTAACTGCTTTCTGAGATGCTCTCAAGTCTTTGTCCTTGTGTTGAACCTTTGGTTGCTCTGGACGAAGGGGTCTTCAAATGTGATGGCTTTAAGACTTGTGGACTTCAACTCCCAGAATTCCTCCTCCAGTCATGTTAGCTCAGGAATTCTGGGAGTTGAAGCCCACAAAGTCTTAAACTTGCCAAGTTTGAAGACCCTTGCTATAATGAATGTGTTCTCAGGCTACCTGAACCCAAGGAGATGTAAATCTCAGTCCTACAGCCACACATGGCTTTACTTGATTGCTAAGCACAAACTCAGCTGAAATCTCTTAGACGCTTGACATAATGTGGCTACGTTAGAATTTTTTTTATTGCAAACTAAAATAATGTCACATTGAATTGTTGATCGCCCTGTGTCAACCAACAAGAGATTGCAATTCACCCTTACAAACATGGCTTGTTGGTTTCTTCCGCCTTTCCCATTCTCTTTGCCCTTGTGCTTTGTGGCTTTGAAGCTGGATAGTTGTTGATGCAACTGACATCTATGTCCTAAGAAATATCATTCATGCTTTTCACTGATACTTACTGTCTTTTTATCTGTCTATCTATATAAAAGTGAAATACCACTCACTCATCACAAAATCTCCATTTCAAGCCTACAAACTTGAAATTTGGCACGTATGTTCCTCTTGGCTTCTAGGTGCTCACTAAGAAAGGATTTTTCAAAATGATCATCAGAGCATTAGTATTTTGTATACTATTATTATTAACATGCTCTGATGCTCCCCACCTGAAAAGAAACCTGTTCCAAATGCAAAACACAAGCAGAGGAGAGGAGTTTCAGTTCCAGTTTAGTTTCATAGCAGCAAGCAGCTTTAGTACAGAACAGTTGAGCTAAGCCACTCCTTGGCTCCTTGCTGTCTCCTTGCTCACACAGCAAATACTGTTTCAGTTTCCAAACAGCCCTTAATTCTCTCACACACTGACAGGACGCTAGCCAGATAAATACCGATGGATGCTGGTAGGCAGAGGCAGAATTTTTTCCCCTTATTTTCCTCCCAAAAAACTAAGCCCAACCACATAGCTTTGTAGCGAAGCAGGGGTATCGAGCTAGTTATATTATATTTGAAGTGTTGTCTAAAAGTATTTATGGATAATTAACTTTTGGTTTTGCTGCACATACCCATACAACACACAAATTGTTTGTGGTCCATATAATGCTCTACCTTAGGCTAAAAAGGGACTTGAATATTTTATGGCTCATTGTGTTGTAGGCATCCAGGCAGTGCCTTAACCCTGATGTGATATTTTATTTTGGCTGGGCATTGTATGTACGTATATTCCAGACTATAGGAAAGGACAACATGATGTGAGAGAAATAATGACCTGTGTTTGCTAAAGTTTAGAGAAGTAAGGAATGGGCAACCAATTGTAGTTCATTTGCAACAGAAACACTTGTGTTTGGGTGGTGCACAGGAGGAGAATGTAGCTACAAGAGGAGTTGGTTATTTGTGTGCTGGGTGATCTTTCTGCTAAACATCACACCTGAAGTTTCCTGCCCTTTCTCAAACTCAAGACTTCAGGAGAAAAAGAATGAAAGTCCTTGACCATATCCAGGAAGGTCCAAGGCTGTTGAAATAATGGCTGGAATACAGTGCAGATTGTATTCCAAGCACTTGAAATGCACAAAGCATGTGCTATACACACTAGATTGTCCAAATGCGTTGATCCATGTAAATTTCTTCTGTAATTTAAGCTCAGAGGCAAGAATGGGGACGTTTCTTTTGGAGAAGGAAACAGTGGTTCATTTCTTCTCAGCCAAAATATGGTGGGTGCTGTTTTATTTATCCAGAATGCCCCGAGTGGTATAGCAAGACTGAGGAGCAAGGATGGCAGCCATCAGGCATGGCTGCTAATTGCTTAAATAAATGTCAAAACACAGACAAAACATGATTGAAGAAGCATAACCAAGAAGTGTGACAGAATACAATGAATAGTACTCAGTCACAGGGTACCCGTGCAATTTTAAGATATATATATTCTAAAGCAAAAGGAGAGCAGCTTGTGAGCAAAACCGGAAAAGGTTATACAATAATCATTCTAGTACAGGATGTCCTCTCTCTATCGAGGGCTTTGCTTTTCTGACATGCTTGTCTTCCTTCTCTCAAGGAATTGAAGCACCTCATCCTTGAAGCAGCTGATGGTTTTCTCTTCGTGGTGGCTGCTGAAACAGGCCGAGTGATCTACGTCTCGGACTCGGTTACGCCAGTTCTGAACCAGCCTCAGTCGGAGTGGTTTGGCAGCACCCTCTATGAGCAGGTTCACCCGGATGACGTAGAGAAGCTGAGGGAGCAGCTCTGTACCTCTGAAAACTCCATGACGGGTCAGTGGCCTCTTGGACAGCTTCACTTCGCTTGTGAGGGCGGGGGAGACACCCTAATGCAGGGGTCTCCAACCTTGGCAACTTTCAGCCTGGCGGACTTCAACTCCCAGAATTCCCCAGCCAGCAAAGCAAAGGGAGTTGAAGTCCTTCAGCAAAGCTACCTAGGGAATTCTGGGAGATGAAGTCCTCCAGGCTTAAAGTTGCCAAGGTTGGAGACCCCTGCCCTAATGCACACTTCTCTCTTGTCCTGATAGCTTTCAGATGTTTTGAGACTACAACTCCCAGAATTCTCAGCATGTCGGGAATTCTGGAAGCTTCAATCTCATCAGTGGAGGGCTCCATGTTGAAGAAGCCTTATCTTTTTTTTAAAAAAAAACAATTTTTATTAATTTTCTATTAACTACATTTTTTAGCGCTTAATAAACATTGTGTTGTCTGGGTATTTGATTTGCTTAACAATATAAATGCCATTCTTACTCTCCCTCACCCCTTTTTTTTACAACCACTGATAAAATAAATTCCGAGTTTGATGATATTCTGTATCTTCTTTCTGTTTGATTTTCAATGGGAGTCTGTCCATTTCTGCACAATCTTCTTAATTATCTCTTCCTCTTGAGGTGTTTCTTCATCTTTCCAGTATTGTGCTGAAATAATCCTTGCTGCTGTTAAAACATGTATTACTGAATACATACTTCTCTTGAAGAAGCCTTATCTTAATGGCTTGAGCTACCATACGTATTTCTACCTAGATGCAAGTCATTTGAAGATAAGGAGGTCGGTGGTGATTTGTTCTCTGAGCTTGCTGTTTAGCTTTTGAACATTTTGTCATCAAACTAGGTGACATCCTCAGCGGCACTTTGGGGCTTCAACCGAAGTCTTGCTCAGGAAGTCACCCTAGTCTGGTGGCGAAATGTCTGGAACAGAGGAGGTATTCAGCAGGTTCTGATCAGTTCTGGAGAACCGGTAGTAGAAATTCTGAGTAGTTTGGAGAACCGGAAAATACCACCTCTGACTGGCCCCGCCCCATCTATTCTCCGCCTCCCGAGTCCCAGCTGATTGGCTGGGTCTTCTTTGGTTGCCCTGCACAGGAGAACAGAGCTGGAAAGCAGGTTAGTGGGGTGGGGAGGGAATGGGGATTTTGCAGTATCCTTCCCCTGCCATGCCCACTTAGACACACCCACAGAACCGGTAGTAAAAAATGTTGAATCCCACCACTGGTTCGGAAGCTAAACAGCAACCTCAGAGAACAAACCTCCATCAACCACCCGAGCTGCAAATATTCTCGCTCATTTCTAAGATAAGGAGGCTTACAGTGATATGTCCAAGGTTGCAGCTGGGTTTTATTTAGTTATTAAATTTATATGCCACCCATCTCACTGCCCATGACTCAGTATACTTTGATTTGGGTGAAAAAAGAGACACATTGGTGACAGGGGGAAAAATAGCAGCAACATACCCGTTTCTATTAATTAAGAATAATTGCATCTGTGCTTATTTTTTCATCTCTCCTTCCAACTATCCCAATTTCTCCTTGTTTTCTTCAAATAAACACTTGCTGTGTCAGCTCCTTTCTGATTTATCCTCTCCCTTCTATTGTTTTTGAGTCTTTTGGGTTGTTGGGTTTTTTTTCACTGCACCATCTAAATTTAATCTCCAGCTGTGCTGATCCAACAATTTTTTCCCCAGTGTTGTGTTTGGTTATGACAGTAAAAAAAACAAAACTGTATGGCCCCTAAGTTTGGAATGCATACAAGAGAATCCCGGGGCAATTGAAGGACTTCTGTGGGTTTGTGTGAAATGCATATCGGTGAGAATAAAGGGAAAGATAGATTATTTGTGATGCAGTACTGATGTGGGTAGTTTGTTACTGTTGTCTTTCCCCCCCTCTCTCTCTTTGAGCCACTGCCTCCATTTCATTTTGGCCATGGCTTCCCCTGTCCCTTGGCTGGGCTGCTGAATTTCCATCTACAGTAGTTGCTTACAAGAGATGCGGGAGGGGAGCAGGGAAGAGATTTTGCCTCTGGCTTTTGTGCACATTTTTCTGTTTCAGGATTCTCTGTGCTGTTCGTGGATTGGACTTCCTTTCCTTTTTGAATGCTGACCCTAAATGTACTCTTGTTTTTCCTGAAGGACTTTCATCTGCTTCTGTTGCCACTTTTTTTCTCTCTCTTTTTTTGCATCTGAAAGTTTTACCAAGGCTGAAAAAAAGATAATAATACATTGTTTTTGTTGTCCCATTTTGATACCTTTTTTCTTTTGTTTCTCTGGCACCATATTTTTCTATCAGGCATCCTTTCCTTTCTCTCTTTATGCCGGATATTTTTTCTTATTCTTTCTTTTTATCTATCTATCTATCTATCTATCTATCTATCTATCTATCTATCTATCTATC